CTGCAATTGATAATGTTAAATTAATTTATAACTATGTAGGTAGGTACATAATATTTTCCATAAAAATATTATAATATTATCATTATTAATGTAAGAATTCTAAAGGCTTTCAGATTATTGTTATAAAATGTTATTCTAAACTTTAATAGTTTATTGATCACATTAAATATTTTAATTAACAATTCAAATAATGTGTTATAATACATTTATAAACATGTGAAGCTGTAAACGACACTCGTCATTCGGTTTTTCGTTATTTGAGGTGGTGATAACTATGGTGAATATTTATTTAATGAATTTCAATAATTATTAATGTATTTTAGTCATATCTGAGATTAGCGTTAACAATAAATTTAGCGTTGCTTTATGTGCGCTATTTTGAACAGCTTCGGCTATTTACGTCTGTACCCGGCATTGTTATGGGATTGTTTGGTGGTTAGAATGTTGGAAATTTGAGTAGTAAATGAGAGAAGGCGGCTGCCATGGCGCGGAGACGTTCGTCCGAACAACAAAAACGTCGCGAGAGTAATTGGCTTCCAAAACGCGGTCGGCGTAGTCGGTGACGTCGGACAACGTTCCGTCGAGACCGGAGACAATGGCCCGAATATTTTACGGCAGCTTTTTCAGCCAGAACTCCCTTAACGCTCCGGAAATTATTGAGTAAGTACTGTAGATTTTTGTATCTTCCCTAATAACATGGCCTCTCAGGCGAAAACGGAAATTCCGCCCATACAGCTTTTTTTTCTTTTCTCCGTCCAGTCGGCAAAGGTAGGCTCACTCGTGAGCAAGGTGCGCTCAACCGCGACGAGCCCAAGGTGTGCCCGTAACACCTGTTACGTACAGCCCTTCAGGAATCCAAAAGCTGATACACTTTTATAAAAAACAATAGTCAATCTATATATATAAAAATGGAGACAAAAAATTCGAAATTGCATCAGTTGAGAACGGCTGGGCCGATTTTGCTCAAATTTTTTTTAAGATGTTCGTAATTGCCAGGAGAAGGTTTTTACGAAAGAAAATTTTTAAAAAGTCAACCGAATAATTAGAAAAACTGCAAAAACTATTTATTGATGTCTGGGGCGTCCATTCTAGCTATGACCACTTTTAGGTGCGGTCGACGAGGTCGCCTTTCACATAAGTGGTTCTTGTTATTATGAGCGTTTACATGAATTGCGTAATCCCATTACACACCGCACAAGGGAGGCTCGATCGAGTTCATCCGCAACGCGCTTCTGTGCTTGCAGAAAAAACTTAAGCAGACGCAAAGCACACTGTGTATTCTAACTAACTTTGGATTTTCCATCTAGTCATTTAGAAGAGCAGAAGTAAAAATATAACAGTAAACATAAAATATACTTACTCATTTGAACTGTAAAAAATAATAGAGTATAATAATATACGATATGTATTAGTAATATAATTATAAACAATTTTAAATTTATATTGGTGTTTAATATGATCGACGTTTTCAGTTTTCCTGAAAATGTATGAATTCCTGATTTGTTGATATTAATAATAGTTAGATATACCTAGATGACAATAAATTATATTAACATGTGGAAATATTTTGAAAGTAGGTATTGTTGAAACACCTTTATTATTCCATGTGCTTCGCATTTGAAGGATTATAATATAATCATGGTAAATTATGTGCTATTAGATTTTGGTTTATGCAATACATTTTATTTTAAATTCTAAAATAGAAACATTGAAAATAGAAGCAATTGGTATTTTAATTTTGAACTTGATATTTTTTGAAAAAAACTTATCATAATATACTTAAGGCTATAATTGGTGACGGAAAATTTTATAGGAGTTCAAAATAGGCAATTTCATAATTATATTCATGCGGGTCTTGTAAGTGTGTGCGTAGTAAGTGATCTTTAGTGGTGTGACTGACGACTGTAATGTAAAGGAAATAGTGGAGTGCTCCCTCACAAGCATGTACATTGTACAAGCCTCTGTCCCGGCGTTTTGCACGTGAACTGTAAAACATGTATGCTCATTCGAATGCACTTTTTATCCATCCTACTATCCTACCGTTCGACCTAAAAGTACGATAATATTTCAGAAAACTGATCTGTATTTGATATAATGTCTACTTCAGATCGACTAGTCCTCATTTTAAGATTTCAGATATTCATTCCAAATAATCAACGTTTGAAAACTCCTATATTACAAAATATTCAAACCAAAAGTAGTTGGAGTTGGACTGCGAGATTTGGGAAAAAGGACGTCATTCGATACCAATTTTATTATAGATATAATAATAAATTCAAAACAGCTTTCAGAAGTATCATTGCATTAGTAGGACGATCAGTAAGATTGACAAAATATTGGTATGTTTTGGTTAAAAAAACTGATCGTCACTAATCCCCTTACAAACATAAACGCAATTACAGCTTTTATTTATTTCATTTTTTTTTTTTGGGGGGGAGGGGGAGCTACACTGTCTAAGCATCCCTTAGTTGCGCCTTGCACCTATGTTCACAAACAAATTTTACTCAAATATTTTTGATCTTTGATATTCAAATATGTCTATTTATCTGTAAATGGATATTGAAGCCAATGGACAAAATAATGAATACCACAACCTTGAAATCACACTCAGAATAAAATATTAAATTTTATTTTATAGTATAAAAAATAAACAAATGAAAAATATACGTACTTATTCTACCTATAAAATAGTATAATAATAATTAATTGAGTACCTACTATATAAAACTGTATTAAATAATTTCAATAGTAGATTTTTATTTTAATACTGCATAATTTATAACTTTTGAACTTTGAAATGCTGGTAATAAAATTTAAAAACAATATTTTATAGCATTAATATAAGCTTATTTTTATTCTGTGGTTTGTAAACAAATTATACTTGATGAAATAAATACAAAATAAGGGGGTTATGATTTTATTGTGAACAGTGTAAACAACTTCTTGACAACTCATTGCAAGACATTAGGCGCCCTAAACGCCTGAAGCAATACAACTTAGTTTAAGTGAATTATAGGCTAATGAAAAATGTTATCTCGTTGGAGGTAAGACCCCAAACATGTTAATGTATAATATATATTTATAATATATTTAGTAATTACAAATTATAATATTGTATTCACCCACGGTGAATTGTATTTACATTATGACCTTTGGTCGTTTAAATAAAAAGGCCACAGACAGTTTAAAAAAAAATATACATAGGAAAATACTTGTGTTCCTACGTCTAAAATCCAATGTATGAAAACTGATGGTGTGGTTGGAGCCCACATACGAATCTATTTGATTAACAATTTCAACGCATACTTTAAAATTTAAATTGAAATCCACATTACGACACAGGACACTGCAGGACACCTACCCACCGAATTGTAAGTGATATATGAATTATTGGTACCTAGTCGCTGTATAAATAATATGCATATTATGCAATATACGTGAATCGAAAAAGAATACAATAATATTATTATAATCATATGGCACGTCACACATAGCGAAAAATGTTAGAGTACCTACATATCATTGTTATCGTACTAATCACACAAATACGTAATACATTAAAAAAAACATAAAAATTACGTACTGCTCAATTTATTTGCGCTAAAATTAGCTAGAAAAAGTTAGAAAAAATATTTAGTTGACAACATATTAATAGATAACCATTTAGTATTTACCTAAGATTCACAACTACAAGTATATTTGATTTTCACTTTCTTGAGGTTGAGGTTAATAAATTATCTTATATGCAATTTGCAAATTAATATTAAAATAATTTATATTTATTATTTATATTTTAATAGGTATTACACAAAAACATAATTATTGTTATCATTTATATCTAATCACTCAATGTAGAAAATTTTAGTATTTTTAACATAAACAAATATAATTTTTATTCAATATATACCTAAAGATTATAGATATGAGAAAGAACATTACAATTTACATTATATCAACTATCATGCCACTCCATAACACTAAGTTCAGCATTTTTCTGCAAAACTTTTCCAAGACTTTGCAACCACTTTGTAATGAGACACATCTACGGTCTAAAATTGTTTGTAACTTATAACGAAGTACAGAGTTTTAATTTTTGATAATATTCAAAGTTAACTATTTCAAATTACTAAGTATATTTTACAGTGTTTGGAAAGAACGTCGTTCATGAACGCTCGTTCACGCTTTTCACGTTCATATTTAGTGAACGATACGTGAACGTAAACGACATCTATATATTTATGAATTTGAACGATTTTTAAGACGGTAAAATGTATTTATTATTTAATAAGTATTGATTGATAATACTATTATGATATACAGTGTGTTCACGCTGAGAGGTACCATTAAATATTTCCGTTCGATGACCTTGTATTGAAAAGGGGTTTTCGCAGAATGACAGATAATACTTAAATGCACATTTGCAGATAAATTTAAAATTTTTTAACACTGTCGATACGCGCATGAGTGATACAACTTATTTTTTTTTAAATGGTAATATCAATTTATTTTTACATATTTGGATAGAGTATTTTGTTCTAAACAATTTTTGTAAAAAAAGTTTTTTTCTAATTACAAAATTGGCATATGAAATTTAACGACGAAAATTAATATTTACGAATAATTTGTTTTTTGACGAAATTTAAACTAAATCCAACATATTGTTACTTATAATTTATTAATATCAAATATTGTTAAATACCTACCTGTTTGCACACAAATAAGATAATAAAAATAACTTTGACAACATTTGCCAGTAATTAAGATATTTATAAAATAAATGTTTAATGAACAGGAATTATAATATCTTAATTACTGGCAAATGTTGATAAATAATTTTCGCTGACTAGTAATAATTGTTTTAATAATTTCAAACTAGTCTTGTGATAATTACTATTCATGTTACATGGGGTTTCTTTTTATTCTGGTTAAGTATCACATATTTTTCTGAAAACATTGTTATTGCTTTAATACACTGTTTTACATAAAATAAATTTATTAAAATGAATAATAGTGAAAAAGTTGAACTTATTCTGATTTTTGGGGAATGTAATCGTAGTTCTCGACAACATATCGGGTTTACGCAGATCGGTATCCAGATAGGTTTCATCCACATTATAATTATGTCCATAGAGTTTTACGTGGATTAAATGAAAACGGTCAATTTCCTAGCAATCAAAATAGACAAATAATTTTGATGAAGATACTGAATTGCAGGTAATGGTCTACATAAGTGCTTATCCACGTTCATCAATAAGACATGTATCTCGACAAATTGGTATATCAGTTGTTGCAGTACATAACATTTTGAAAACAAATAAAATGAATCCTAATAAACCTAAGTTAATCCAACATTTACGAATCGGAGATAATGAAAGTAGATTACAATTTTTGTCATGGTTTAGCGTTCATTTGAAATCGACAATTTATTTTATAACAGTGTTTTGTGGACTGATGAATCTAAATTCACAAAAAACGGTATAGTGAACAAATAAAACAATAGGTTTTGGGACGATACAAATCCACACTGGTCCCGAGAAAAAAACTTTCAGACAGTTTGGGGTATAAATTTGTGGTGTGGATTAATTGGTGGAATACTTTTAGGTCCTTATTTTTACGTGGAACACTTACAGGTAGAAGATATTATCTAGATTTTCTAGTTTATCAATTAGCATTACTGTTAGAAAACGTTCCATTAGCCATGCGGGAAAATAGGTATTTTCAACAAGACGGTGCACCAGCACACAACGACATTATTGTTAAAAAATATTTAGATGAAATTTTTCCTAACCGATGGATTGGTACCCATGGAGTAATTCCATGGCCGGCAAGATCTCAAGACTTGACCCCATTGGATTTTTTTTATGGGGACATTTAAAAAATGTTGTACATGTGGACCCACATATAAATAACATATTAATCTCCAAGATTTAAAAAACAAAACACGACTGGCTTGTATTAATTTGAGAGAAGCACAAATAAACGCTGCCACATCACGAGAATTTTTAAAACGTTTGGAATCATGTTTGGAACATCAGGGTGGAAACTTCGAACAATTTGTTAGATAGATCTGTAGAACATAATTGTAATTAATAAATCTTGATTTCAAATTCAAAAGTGTGTAAAATTTTATAGTTTTCATTACCTCCAAATAGCTATCTTATTTCAGAAGAATGAATGAAAAAAATAAGAGTAAGTAAAAGTGTTTATTATATTATCTTATCTGTGTGCAAAACAGATAGGTATTCAACAATATTTGATATTAATAAATTATAAGTAACAATATGTTGATTTTGGTTTTAATTTCGTCAAAAACAAATTATTCGTAAATATTAATTTTCGTCGTTAAATTTCATATGCCAATTTTGTAATTAGAAAAAAACTTTTTTTACAAAAATTGTTTAGAACAAAATACTCTATCCAAATATGTAAAAATAAATTGATATTACCATTTAAAAAAAAATAAGTTGTATCACTCATGAGCGTATCGACAGTGTTAAAAAATTTTAAATTTATCTGCAAATGTGCATTTAAGTACTATCTGTCATTCTGCGAAAACCCCATTTCAATACAAGGTCATCGAACTGAAATATTTAGTGGTACCTCTTAGCGTGAACACACTATATAATAAAAATAAAATACATGAAATTCCAGTGGGCACACTTGGTTATAGAGCAACAATAAATATTATAATTTCCACGATTTTGTATTCGTATTTAAATGATACATAAAAATAAAATAAAATAAATTAAATGAACGACGAAATGAACGCATTCATATTTTCAAAGAACGTGAACGTGTTTATTTGAAAAAAATATAAATTTGAAAATGAACGAGTTACTTCTTTAGGCTATGAACGTGAACGAATTCATTTTTTTAGTGAAAGTTCTGAACAGTTATCCGAAATCATTTAAAAGTTATCTAGATGAGATAAAATATACGAAGATCTATCTAGATAAATTATCTAGATAATTGTATCTAGATAATGTCTAACACTGCCGAAAACTGATATTTTATGATAATATTATTACTATTAACAAGTCATATTTTTACTATTAGCCATTTATAGTACCTATCACATTACTACATTAGATTGGATTCATTTTCACAGGAAAAATTGCATTTGAAATTGTCATTCTGTGTATAAAATATTATAGTATAACTGTATAAGTACTTAAAAAGTTTCGAATAGGTAACCCCGATAAATATTTTTGAATCAAACAAATTTTAACTTTAAAAGATTAAAACTCGTGCCTTTGTACTTTTATTTTTATGCTGTGTATAACAAACTATTGAGATTCTATTCGTATGACATTTTCAAGATTTATGACATGGCGAACATTTTTTTGATGATATTTATAAAAAAAAAAAAAAAAAACATTTAAATTTTAAAATATTTATAAATTGTGAAAAAGAGTCAACGTTTATTGAAAATGTTATAAATTATAATGTATAGACAATATTATGAAGCAGACATTTCGTGACATTTTCAAGTAACTGCGATTATTCGTTTTTGAATTACAATACATTTTGAAAACCGTTGGAATCATAAAAAATGTAATATGCCATTAATATGACTAATGGGATAATTTTTTTGGTGATGGACAAACTTATGGTAAAACTTGTATTATAGAGTTTACAATCTGAGGTATAAAATCAAAATTTCTACGAATTTCTAACTCAAAATAATTTGCAAATTTTCATGATTTTGACATATTTTTTCATAATTCTAACCTCTAACGTTCTATCGTATATTGTAGACAGTCGCCAAAATATTATTATTTAATATATATGTAATATAGGTGGGAATATTTTAAATTGTATATTATTGACATAGGTCAGGCCAATGAAGCAATATGTGCTGAGGTAGCAATAATACTTTACTATATAACACCGCCGTACCCGCAGGAACGGGAGTTCCGTTGTCGCTGAGTGATTCGGCGAGGACGTAGGTACGACGGTTGTTCGTGTGAAACGTCGACCGTAGTACGGGCTAGGCAATCTGAATTTGCTAAGTGATTTATTTATGTTTGCTTTAATATAATAAAAGCGTTTTTGACCTGAAAAATCGAGTTTATAATAATTTCAGTCATTCTTAAGTTCTTACCTTTTATAGGAGCAACGCCGGGATATACGTACTATGTATCAATGAAGTTTTATTAAACTGAATAGTGCCAAGGGATATGTAATCTTTGAGTCTTTTCAACTAGATAGGAACGAACTAAGAATTGACAAGCGCATATCATCGTACCTCAAAGTTAACAGTGCCATGATTCTAATTAATTTTAGAGAGTGTCATTAACTAGAGAATACGAGGGTAAGGCGTATAGTGGGTTTACAGCGTATTATCCAATACAGGTGATAACACAGTTCATAAAAAAAATAAAACGAATTATAACAGTCTTATAGTTTATATGAGTATAGAGTATATAGACAAATTATGACAGTATAACACAGTAGCCTCTGAACTGTTACAGAACTATAGCAAGCTGCATTCTGTAAATTAAGAAATCTTTTTCAACAAAAAACATTGAAAATACTTACCTGTATCCACTAAAAAATAAATAGAACCAATTAATTAATAGAGTTACATTTGTTTTTACATTTATAATACAATTTGCACAAAAAACAGATCTTTTGTGAATATTATAATATTTAAGTGTTTAGTTTAAATATTTAAATTAATTTCCTTAATTGTAAGTAATTTAGATGTTTTCGTTTCGTAACTAAAATAACTTTAAAGCGGTTTAAGAAACCAATCTGATAGCCAAACTTGGTTTATTTAACGAAAAAATCGTCTTACGCTTTTAATTTTGGTAAAATTTGTAATATGCGTCAGAACACTTCGTGTAAAAACACAGAAATGTTATATAATACCAATAAATCTAAAACTTATGCCATCGACTATATTAAAGAATCGGAAGATATGCCAATAAAAACATTAGAAAAGATCATTAAAAAACCAATACAAAAATGTGGGTTATTTGTAGACGATAATATTCCATACTTAGCAGCAACGCCTGGGAATGCATTTTTCGTTTTTTGATATGTATTGTCCAATTTTTTTTCACACAAAAAAAAACATATTTTATTTTATATTATACAATAATTATAGATGGTTTGACGATAATGCTACTGTTATCGGGACTACTATCCATCGACGCCATGCACGCCTGGACTGATTCGACGACAACTCTCGCCTGGATTCAATCATCTCCACATCGACGTGCTACGTTTATTGCATACAGAACCAGCCAGATTCAGAGCCTCACACCACCTCACTCTGGCGATATGTTCCAACCAGCGAAAATCCAGTAGACTGCAAGTCTCGTTCCTGGTCCAAATCACAGTACATGTTCCTTATTTTCTGCTACGCCCGTCACAGACCTCGAAGCACGACCCACTCTCCTTGGGATAATCCCGACCAGCACCATTTTTGATCGCCTATTCCGTGGAATTTCGTCATTACAAAAGAGCATTCGCATCATTGCATATTGTAAACGAGTTTTTGCGAACATTAAACCCAACAGAATCGAACCATCAACCACTGAAGTAAGTCACGCACTAGAGGTCATTATACTTGCCGTACAAAGACAAGCATTCGGTGACGAACTTATGCAGCTTCGAGAGCCTACTCACAAAGGCACTAGCAAGTTACGTGGCTTGAATCCATTTGTTGACAACCTCGGAATCCTTTGAGTTGGAGGTCGTCTGGTTCACGTTGATCTTCTGTATGAGCAGAAGCACCCGAGTCTTCTGCCGAGGACACATCGATTTACTCACTTGCCAATTTACAACACCCACAGTCAACACAAGCACCTGGAAGTTACAACACTGCAATCAATCATCCAGCAACAGTATTGGATTGTAGCCAGTCGCCATGTATTAAATCTCGTTTACACCACTGTATTGCCTGTTACTGAATTCGTCCTCGAGGAGTCCAGCCCGTAATAGGAAATTTTCCAAATTTCCGTTTACAGCAAGTAAAGCCATTCGCCGCAGTCGGGGTCGACTACGCTGGTCCAATCATGTTAAAACCGTCAACAACACACAGCTGTACCATTAAAAGCATACATAATGTCTCTTCATCTGCATGGCAACAAATGCACTACATCTTGAACTCGTCTCAGACTTGTCCACTGAGACTTTTCTGATGGCCTTTAGTCGTTTTATATTTTACGACCGACGACCAAGTACCAGTCTCTTATCTGATCTGTAGCAAGACCCACCCGGGCAGACCTAAGCATTTCAGGTAGAAACTTCCACACCCGAACTTATCGGACGGTATTTATATCGGTCAATAGTGCAATAGTCAGAGTATTCTGGCATTGCACTGATCATATATCTGTCTCAGTTCATGGGGCAATATTCGGAGTATTCTGGCATTGCACTGACGGTCATACCGTTTGGTAGGTTCCAATCCCACGTCGTGAGCACTTTTACTTTGATCACCGATCATATAAGTAAAAACCAGTATCTTTTTCTTTTTGTTGTTAATAAAATATAAAATTCGTCAGTATGGCATAAAAACTCGTTATTCTGTTATTGTTAAATTATAAAGTAAAAAGTATATAATATATATATATATATAGGTCATAGATATATAAAACAACTAGATAGCCGACTCAACGCCAAAAATTGAAGTCTGGCATCCATATGCGAACAGGGCAAAATACGATTGATTAATCCATGACATTATATAATTTTCCATGAAATATAATTTATCTATGATTGAAACATGATAATATATGGTATGATGAAATTATGATTGCTACTTCGTTACAAATTTGAAATTACAATTTACAAGTTTAAAACCATAAATTTGGAAAAATGTATTCAACAGATATTTTGAACCCTGTCAGTAAGAGACATAAATTATCCAAATTAATATTATTCTCCAACCAATAAAATAATTGTATTCATAAAAGTGTAATGAAGAAATATATACTAATTGTTAACTATTGTTGTGTTGATTAAGTGTAGAACACCTATGCTTTATAATATTATAGTATTTATACTTATATAAATTATAAATAGGTCTCATTGTGGTGGGTGGAAGTATGTTGATAAGAGTTTTAAATTTATAGAATAATAATCTGATCTTTCTAGTTGTATTAATAATATGATTTTGTCATTTTAAGTTAGCATCAGCTATAGTAATAACTAGATATTTTACTTTTTGAACTAGATAAAATATAGTAGTGCAATTACATCTACTGTCATTACTAATAGAAATCACTGTATTTATATTAAATTCATTACAGTTTTTTTGATGAGGCTTGAGATATTTATAAATTTATAACCAATGGGTGAAGATTTATTTATACTAAGGTTTATAAAGCAAGTTTAGGTTAAATTAAGTTCCAGGAGGTTATTGTCAAACCATATTTTGACAATACTTAATACACGAGTAGATTCATTATGAATACTATTTTTCTTTATGTCATCCATAATAATTGACGTGTCATCAGTAAAACTGAAAATTGATTCATTACAATTAATACTCAATAAGTCATTAATAAACACAATGAAAAAGAGGACCCAATACAGTACCTTATGGTATTCCGTGAATTGAAATTATTCATTATTTTATTATTATAAAGAGAAAAGATTTGTTTGTGTATAATGGATAAACTCAAAAACTACTTAATCAGTGATCGGCTGAGCGTAAAATGTGCGATGTACGCAGTACGCACTTGTAAGTCGGAAAAAAACAAATATCCGTGCAACGTCCTCTTAATCGGACTGATTCAGAAATCAAATTTTCGCAGTTTTTAAAAAATCATGGAGTAATTAAATATTTCATGGATTAATCAATCGTATTTTGCCCTGTTCGCATATGGCTGCCAGGCTTCATAGGTCTTATGAGACTTTATCACAGAGTCGGCTATCTAGTTGTTTTATATATCTATGATATAGGTAAATAAAGTATATCAATATTCAATATCACATTACCACCACCAAAAACCGTGAGATAAGTGGAACAATGGGCGGCGAATCAAATGATTTTTTAATTTATGACAACGGAAATTATGAACATTGAATTTTAGTTTTCACGCTACAAATGGAGTTTTTTATTTACAATTTTCATCAAATATATAATGTTCATAGGTGGCTTATTTAAATGTTACAGTATATTTGCTTAATTATACCTACATTATAGTTCCAGATTTTTAAGGAAATATTAGGACGTTTGTTTTTTCTTCCAGATAAATTGGAAAATAAGTATCATTACATGTTATTGAATCACGTTTTATCATCTGTTTGAAACGCAACTTCCTTTAAGCATTATAGATTTGATTAATATTATATTATATATAATTATTCGAGTTTTTAATGGAGCCCAGATTCAAGGTTACTTCTTTCATTTATCGCGACCGTCGTTGTAACACACCTTAACTCACTTTTTTCAAATTGTTCAGGAGGCATATTAAGCTAAATAAATCGATTTTCAATTGGAAAAAATGAAAAATGTAATTGTTAGACTTCAATTGTAAAGAATAGCTATAATTAAATAGTAAATTGTATAATTTTCAACAATTTCAGTTCCGCACGGACCGTCGTTCGTAGCACACGTCCGTTGACCGTCGTGCGCGTACACTATCGCCCTCCGCTTATCGCGTCTTAATTATCGCGTCATTAAAATTAATGAGTTCAAATTCAAACCGTATTATTCAGTATAATTATCTTCGTTTTCCGTATATTCCACACGTTTAAACAAAAATATAATCTACCTGCCACCACCGTACTTTAACCGGCTGTAGGCCGCAACCTGCAACTCATCAACTGCTGTACCATGCAACGAAATAACTCAGTCACAAATAAATCTAAAAACAAACCGAAATTATCTCCGTTAGTTATCACAAATTATATTTCTCGTATGACGCAGGACGCAACCTCTTCACCCGCCTCTTCAGCCAACAACCAAGAATGGAATATTGTTGATATCAACAAACGCATTAGGTCACCCAACAACTCTACTTCGCCTCGCACAAAAAAAACAAGCGAGTCGCCACACTTCTCCTCACCGAACCGTTACTCTCTACTCAACACAAACGAAAATAATATAGATAATATGGATATCGTAACAGAAACAGAAATCACATCATACTCACAAGCAGTAATAGGTAACAAATCAAATAAATCAGATTTTAATAATACCAACGACCATATTTCCAATCAAAAATTAACAAACAAACTAACAACGTTCATTTCCGAATTTAAAACACTAATTTCTCCCCTCATAACACTTCTCAATCCTCTAATAACCCTTCTTACCTCATTAATAAACAAATTAAGCTCCAACAAGGGAAACTAACTTTAAACTCAAATTACTCACATGGAACGCAAACGGTATTACACCTCACAAACTAGAACTCCAGACAATCCTTAGTGATCTTAATATAGACATAGCCATGTTATCCGAGTCTCATCTTACCCCGTCAAAATCTATCAAAATACTCGGTTATAAAGCTTATCAAAGCAATCAACCCGACAACACGGCTCACGCTGGCTCCTTGATACTTGTTAAGAATAATTTGCCCCATTCCTCTCTTCCTATAATCAGTGAAACTTACATCCAAGCAACAAGCATTCTTGTTCCCGTAAATAAACATATAAATCTGACACTCTCTTCCACCTACTGTCCCCCAGGACCTAAAATTAGCTCAGTTAACTTTATAAATTTCTTCGAATCCCTAGGTAAACATTTTATCGTCGCCGGTAACCTAAACGCCAAACACTCCTCTTGGGGTTGTTTTTCAACTAATACAAGAGGCAGAACCCTGCTCAACTGTATAGCTAACTCCAATATAAAAATTCTAGCCCCACCTCACCCCACCTATTGGCCTTCTCATCGGAACAGACGTCCAGATATTCTTGATATCTTTATCACAAAAACACCAAACAACTGCATTACCACGGTCACTAACACTAATGACCTTTCATCCGACCACTCACCTGTTATACTGGAGTTTGAAATACCCTCTGCGAACCCTACCACAAATCTCCAAGCTCCCAGAAAAATACACTGGCCTACTTTTAAAAAACTCGTTGAAATTCGCACTCAACTCAACCCATCCCTAAAGTCAAGCGATGATATTGATGAAACAATTCAAAAACTCACGATAGACATTCAAGAATGCACGCACTTGGCAACATTTCATAGTCCAATCCACCCCAAAAAATACCCACTAACGAATCACATTAAATTTCTTCTCCAAGAAAAACGAAAAGCCAGGTAACGGTGGCAAAGACACAAATACCCCATCGATAAACAAACCTTCAACCAACTAAACAACAAACTAAGAAAAGCGCTCTCACAACACAGCTCTAGCACTTATCATAAATACATACAGAACTTAACAACTCAACACTCTTCCCTCTGGAAAGCGACAAAAAAAAATTCTTAAAACCGTTTCAACTCCCTCTCCCCTTCGGAAAGAAGATAACACATGGGTTGTTTCTGATACCGATAAAGCAAACCTATTCGGCCATCATCTATCCAAAACCTTCACACCACACAATATAAATCTAAATCACACCCAAAACCAAATAGTCACACAATCATTGGACTCTGCATTACCAATGTCACTCCCAGCTAAACCCACTAGTCCCGGTGAAATCGAGTTTATAATCAAAAAACTTCACAACAAAAAAGCTCCAGGATACGACCGGATCACAAATCTCACCGCTAAAAACCTGCCAAAAAAAACCCTTATACTACTTTCGTATATCTACAACGCAATGTTACGTTTATCTTACTTCCCCCTAACCTGGAAATTTTCCGTAATTATACTATTTCCAAAACCCAACAAGCCTCCAGATAAAGTTACATCATATCGACCAATAAGCCTATTACCAACTCTATCAAAAGTATTCGAAAAGATCTTACTAAAAAGACTCATTCCTCTTGCTATCTCAGCTAACATTATCCCAGATACACAATTCGGTTTCAGACCGAACCACTCAACGATCCATCAACTTCACAGAGTAGTCGACACTATATCTTCGTCACTAGAAAAAAAACATTACTGTGCTGCCGTCTTCCTGGACGTAGCACAAGCGTTCGATAGAGTCTGGTTCGAAGGCCTACTGTTCAAACTAAAAAAATTTCTGCCTGCGCCTTATTACTTACTTATAAAATCGTACCTTAGTGACCGTACTTTCATCGTACGACAGAATTCATGTTACTCAAACTACTTTGACATTCTCGCCGGAGTTCCCCAAGGTAGCGATATTGCCCCTTTTCTATATAATATATTCACTCATGACATTCCCAAAACCTCCTACACTGAACTCGGTTCCTATGCGGACGACACGGCAATTTTAGCAACGAATGAAAATCCCATTATAGCCTCAAATATGTTACAAAGACACCTCAATATTAGGCTGGAACCCGACTGAGCACGATTGACCTTTTTCACAACCCGATTGAGCATGGTTGGAATCAAACAATAGGAACCCAAAAAACCCCAAAAACAACACGATTGAGCACGAAAATAGGTGCTCATTGTGTATTGTAGAATATTATTTTTAAAAAATAAGATACATTTGAATGTAAATGTTTATAAATAAAAATATTTTATTGGATTTTAATCACATATTATTACATATGTACGTCAGTTAGTTTATTATATTATATTACAATTACAATATATTCCGCTAAATATTGAATATAAAAATATATAATATAAAAAAATGTTGAAAAATACCAATCAAAATGAATTAAAAAATAAAAATTTTAATTTTTTTCCCTAAATACTTACTTACAATTTTAAATAAGTATTTAAGTAGGTTATCAACATTTTTTAATTCAGAGTACTCCTGATAAGCCTTTATAAGCTCCAAAATTTGCCAACTTTTTACCTCTCTCGGATAAAATTATTTTTATTTCATTATTTTCCATCGTAAAATTTGCACACTACCGCACTACGAGCACGAGGCAACAGAACCATAGACTGATTGTGACCAAGTCTTATTTACAGCATAGGTACATACAATAACAGTTAATCACAAATTAGTGCAATCGTTATAGATAAAATTCTGGTTTCCTATCTATCCCAGTTATTTTCAACTTCCGTGGGTATACCTACCCATCGATCGATAGCAAAATCGTTTTCGACTAATATGTTAGTATTTACCTATTGGTAATATCTACACAACATACGTAGGTACTAGTGAAAATCAGAAAATCTGACAACGTTGTACACAATATTTTTTTTTTATCGTGCTCAATTGGGTCGTCTAAAAGGTCGGCCGATAACGACCGTGCTCAATCGGGTATCACCGCAATATTATACACCTCTGGACAAAGAGGTGGAAAATCAAAATCAACGAAACCGAGTCCTCCTTCATAACATTTACCTTAAATAAAAAAACTTGTCCTCAAATTACAATGAACAACATTCCAATCCCTATTTACACACAAATAAAATACCTCGGTCTTACCCTTGACAGTAAACTAACCTGGAATCCTCACATAGTTGATAAACGAAAAGCCCTTAATTCCCGTCTACACCTCCTAAGACCATTATTAAGATCTAAAATGAACATTGACACCAAATTACTAATTTACAAGTCCCTACTCAGGCCGCTATGGACATACGGCATTCAATTATGGGGAGCCGCTAAACCCTCCAACACCAGATCAATACAAACCTTCCAGTCCATCTGTCTCCATCTAGTTTCCTCTGCTCCTTGGTACATAACAAATTCCAACCTCCACAAAGACTTAAAAATACAAACCCTAAATCAAATCTCTAAAACATACTACATTAAATTTCATAATAAACTCCAATCACACACTAATCCACTAATCAAAAAATTATCATCTAAAACTCTACCCGACAACCCTCGACGTAGACTAAAAAGAAAATGGTGTAGGGATCTCTTACATTAATAATTAATAATCATTAGTCAATAGCTAACGCACGTGCTGGGTGTTATCAATGGATAACTTCCCAATCCTATTATTCGCCGTTAATTTTATATTCTTTCCTTTATCAAATCTAATTATTGTACAAATAACTGTATAGATTGTAGATATATTTTAAATAAAAAAAAAAAAAATGTTCAACAATTTAGACCATTTTATACCAACCAACGTCAAAAACAATTTAAAAAAACACGAGATACGAGTTATTCCAAACAGTCTAGATAATATAAGTTAGTTTAGATAAGAGGTATCACCACTAAGGCACCCAATAATATATTCTGAGATTCTATACAGAGTTACTTAAGAGTTGTTACTACAAATGATTTTTCGGAAGGAAAAAACACAATAGAATTTTTAGTCATAGAAAAAATTACAGCTATACAGTGGTACCAAAATCTCATTTTCAAAAAAAATTGAGTAAAGAGGTGTTACAACGGCGGTCGCGTTATGCAAGTCTATATCATATTATATGGTGTCAAATTCAGCAACTTCAACTAGTAAAGTTGAATAAAGAAAATGAACGGATTTCCAAAGAGTGTAAGATGATAACTTAAATTGGCGTATTTACACATAATTGACGAAATTTTAATCAAAATCATTTATAATATGTATACAGTTTTTTCTCAAGAGTTACTACCTCATATTTCATTCATTCTTTGACAGAACTTATACTAGTGGTAATAACAACAACTCACAAAATTAAAATATTAAAATATACCAAAGTTTTAATAAATGAGTGTTGCAACCTTTACTCAAATTTCTCAGAAAACAACTTAAGGTTCTTGAGATGATGTCAGCGCACTATTTGTTTTCTATATCTGGCCCACGCGCAACATAGACAAAACGCATTAATGCAGAATCATTTTTTCTATGTTTTTAAGTAATCCTAGAGTAAAATCCCCCATTTCAAAAAAGATAGAGAATATTTTCGAAGGAATGCCAAATCGATTTTATATATTATTGTTATTTCATTATTTGTATTCGACTTTCAAAATAAACAAAAATATGTTGTAAATTAAAATTATGTTTACAACTGTTTTTAGACAATATTTAGACAAATCGATGTCATTTCCTCAAAAATATTATTCTCTATCTTATTTGTAATGGATGATTTAACTAGATGATTACTTAAAAACATAGAAAAAATGATTCTGCGTTTTGTTTATGTTGCTCGTGGGAAAGAGAGAAAAAACAAATAGTGAGCTGACATCCTCGTAATGTGTTAAGTCATTAATCTCAAGTACAGAGTATAATGTATTTTCTATTACTCTTTAACTGAGTCACAATGGATAAAAAACATTGGTCGATTTTAATAATAATAAAAATAAACAATAGAAAAATATACGTACTTATGTTATCTAGAAAAAATATAATAATAAAGA